GTCCCCAGTCCATCACAGGGACACACAGAGACACACAAGGACCAACAACCACACACACTCACACTAAGGGCAGTTTGGAGTCCAACAACCTAACATGCAGGTTTTTGGAGGGTGGGAGGAAGCCGGAGAACCCGGAGAGAACCCACAGACACAGGAGAACATGCAGAACCACCCAGAAAGGTCCTGGTTCCCCCGGGACTCCAACCCAGAACCCTCTGGTCCTGGTTCCCCCGGTACTTTAACCCAGAACCCTCTGGTCCTGGTTCCCCCGGGACTTTAACCCAGGACCCTCTGGTCCTGGTTCCCCCGGGACTCCAACACAGAACCCTCTAGTCCTGGTTCCCCTGGGACTCCAACCCAGAACCCTCTGGCAGAAAGTTCCTGGTTCCCCCGGGACGTTCCCGTAGCAACAGTATTTGATTGATTGATGAATACTTGAATACTTGATCTCACGTGGATAAATTAACTTCCAGTACAGCCCGTACCAAGATCATACAAACAAACACACAGACACGCCAGTATTTCATCAGTAAGCAACATTTTCTTATTATTTTTATGCCTTAAGAAAACAAAAAAAAACTCCTGTAATGTGACTATCAAAAACCAAGTTAGTCTCTGAGGGATGGACGTAGAGCTCTGTCTGACTCTCTGAGTCCAAGGAGGGAACTTGAATCCAGTACTGCTCGAAGGGCGTTTATTTGACTCTTTCAGCATAACACACTTTGTGACAAGACTGTAAATGAACTAGCGAGATACTTCCGAGGTCACCTTTGGCTATTGATCTACGATTACTTTTGGGGTTAACAGAAAATATCGGCACCCAAATATCGACCCTCTCTGTCTCAGACAAAAAACAAAATCCATGGGCACACACAGGGGACATTTATCAGGCGATCATGCAAACCCAGCCACGCACACACACACACACACACACACACACACACACACTCACCCAGTCCACCCGAGAGTCGTAGAGGCAGGAAGTGTGTTTGGATATATGTCTGTGTGTTTGTCTGTGTGTTTGTTTGTGTGTGTGTGTGTGTATGTGTGTGTGTGTCTGTGTGTCTGAGTGTGTGTGTGTGTGTGTCTGTGTGTCTGTGTGTGTGTGTGTGTGTGTGTGTGTGTGTGTGTGTGTGTGTGTGTGTGTGTGTGTGTGTGTGAGGCTCTCAGCTCTCCCTGTCGGTCAGCAGGTGGCGCCGGCGGAGGGCTTCTCGGACCTGGCCGTGCAGGTGATGACCTCGCCCTCCAAGAACTACATCCTGCTGACCATGGCGCTGGCCGTGGGCGTGCTCTTCCTGGTGGGGCTGCTGTGCGGCCGCTTCACAAAGAGAGTGACCAGAGAACTGAAGGACCGGTAGAGGACGGGATTCAGACCCCCCCCCCCCCCCCCAATCCCCCCACCCCCCCAACCCCCAACCCGCCCCCCCCAAATCCGTCTGGCTGCAGACTGCAGGAAGCCAAGGACGAATATCCAACACCACCCACATCCAAGTCGGCCATTTTGATTAGGTCACCAATAGGAAGATCCCAGGCAAGAAAATCCTAATTGCTTCATGGCAATATAGACATTAGTTTAAAAATAGTGAAATGAATCTTTCAAACACTGAATTAAACTTGATCCATAATATTATGTCAAAATAGTGGATGTTAAATAGATTTGTACAATAAGTCCAAACAAGTTTAACCAAAAAATATCTATTTCTCACAATAGTGAAGGGTTAGGGTCAGGGTTTGAGTTAGGACATTGTTTGTCTTCTGATTTCATATAGACAGTAAAGTTTGGTTTCCACATCGGAAAGCTGCTAGTTACATGACCTAATCAAAATGGCTGACTTGGATGTGGGAGGAGTTGGATATCCAGCCGGGGCTCCTACAGGCTGCAGACAGAGGCTGCTCGTCCTCCCCGCCACCTCCCGGCGGGGCGCCGGTTCTTTTCCGGACTCCCGGCGTTCCGGCGGACGTCCGGGAGCAGAAACGGGAGCTGACCGTCTGACCGTCCGTCTGAGGGCTCTGACCTCTGACCCCGGCCTGGAGGAGCTCCTCTTTGACTGCTGCTGCCTGATTCTCCCACGATCCCCGTCGCTCCGAAGTGTCAGTGCTGAAGCCCCGCCCCCTATCGGCCACGCCCTGGTCACTGGCCACGCCCCTGACCACGCCCCCTTTGCACCCGGACCGGTTGGGGCCTCCTCCGCTGGTGAAAGACTGGAACCGAAGGCCCAGCCGGTCTTCATTAACAGGAATGTTGTGAATGATTGCTTTTTTAAAAGCGTGTGTTGGACTGCACTTTCTGTTGCTTCTCTGCCTTATTTATTGATGATTAACGGATCCTGACCTCTGACCTCTGACCCGGTTCTGCTTCGCTGTTAACTCTGTTTCCGGCCGTCCAGCTGCACTAAAACTCTGAGAAGCCGCTCTGAGAGCTGCCACCATTTAGAAAATCACAGAAAAAAGTTCAATCACAGAAAATCACAGCTGGTTTTGGACATTCAAGCCACGAATCCCAATCAATGATTTTATTTTTTTAAGCTTAAAGCTCCTTTAATGTGAGAATTTGCCTGATTTTTTTTTCTGGACTGTGGTTTTAAACCCAGGGGTCAAAATGTGAAGCTAATGGAAATCTTTATAGGACGTCACAAAGAAAAGCCAATGCAGGGAGTAAAACTGTCCTCTGGTCACACATTTGCAGACATTTAGCTTCAGAGATGAGCTCAAACTGAGGAATTAAATATCTAAAACATGTCCGACTGAGTGCTCTGACTTTCCTTTGATTTCTACTTTCCCACTAAGAAAACCAGAGGTGTAAAAGTTGCTAAAAGATGTTAAAAGTCCTGTGATGGACGGCTCTGAATCTCAAATTAAGAGAAAAAAACATTCTAGGTTCTGTGTTGAATTAAGTTTGTTTTTTCATTTTTTTACCTCCCGAAAACCAAATGCAAAAACAAGCTGTGTGTGACCTTAAAGGTCTAGAACTCAAATATCCGTCCAGATAACAGGAGGTGGCTCTTTCAAAACTGGAAAAACTATTTTTAAAGGGAAGCAAAACCCAAATGTCTCCCTCAGTTTTTAAACCACTGGAGCCGTAGAAGTATTTCCCCCCAATGAAAACATTTTTTTCTATTCAGGTCCTAAACGTTTCATCTGAACTTCCTCTTCAGAGCTTTTCAGAGCTGGTAGTTTCTGCTCAGTTTTCACAGGATTTGGGCCCCAGACCCCCCCCCCCCCTCTGGACGGACACCCACAGCCCCCCCTCAGCTTTTTCCAGCTCCGGTTTGTTTCCGTCTGCGTCGGATGTGAATGAGAACGTAACAGCTATCAGAGGAACTTTTGTACATAAGTTTCAGTGTGACTTTATCGGTGTGCCCTTATTTTTAGAAAAAAACGTCCTGTAACTTGAATTGTGAGGTTTGATTTTACTGTACAGATTAAAAACATGTCGGTTTAATAAAAATGTCTGCAGTTTTCAAATCTTTGCCTCAAGTCCCTTTTAGTTACCAAGCCCAAAAATCAATGGTGCGAACAAGTATTTTATATATATACAGATAAAGAAATATGTGTATGTTTTAAAGTAGAATATTGGATATTTATGATATAATCTGTAGTGTGATATAAAATTTAAAAAGATTTTTAGATATAAATAAGGACATATAATATATGCTTTAATATACATAATGTATTCTTATAATGTCATTTTTTTGGTAACTTTATTGAAATGCAATTTTTTTACATGAATACCAAACCAATCTCTTATTTGTGTAAAAATAAAGATTGAATCTCAGTCTGATTTGCATTCGGAATTCCAATAGCTGCACATCGTAAATATGCAAATGAGAGGAAACTTTATGAAGCTTTAGTTCTGCACACCTGCCACTCAGGTAGACTCCTCCCGTCTTCCCCAGGCCTCTGTGACCCGTCGGCCATTTTTAGAAACATTTGGAGGCCAAAGATTGTCAAGCGTCGCCCTGTTTGCACGTTTGACCTTTGACCCCCCAAACTGTTCTCCAAACACTGAGGAATTTTGCCCAGATTTTTTTAGACTGACTTGAAATGTTTATGCATTAATAAAATCCCATTAAGGGCTAAAATACCAACACAAACACAACCAAAAAGAGGATGTTTGTCCTCTGTCTTTGAGCAGAGTGAAACATAAATTAAACCTAGCTGATAAATACTTTTTTATCTTGATTATAGCCAGCCTGAACAATGTTTCCTTGTTATTTTCCCCCCTGTGGCAGTAGATCTGCCCTGATAAAGATAGAATATACCCTCCTAAATGAACAAAAGGGAATAATGCTGCTGGTAACCTTAATTTCCTGAGGGAGTCTTCCCAAGGGATCAATAAAGTACTGTCTAAGTCTAATGTAATGATTAAACCTATGAAACGATAAATGGTCAAAATCCAAAGCGGTAAAACCGGTGATTAACTGATCTCGGCTGGTATTTTCGCAGGTATTTGACCTCCTTTGGGGTCAGTTGGAGGTGGTGAAAAAGGAGCCCAGTTGTTGTTTCTTCAGGATTTACCACAGTCCAGAGTTGGGAGGCTGCACATGGAGCAAAGTGGGTTTTATATGTCGACATTTTTGCCGGATGAGATCCAAAGGAAGTCATTCCTGATACTAAGTATAATCCCGGGCAGCTTCTGTCCGCCTCCTCTGCAGCCAGAGAAGAAGAAGACGCTTGGATTAGGGCTGGAACTCCCATCCGGAGGGTTATTGGGAATGTTCTGAGAGGCACAGCTCCTCCCGGTTTGGATCTGGCAGCTGGTGGAAGGCTTTTTCTGGCCACACATCTCTGCCTGTTACCCTTTAACTCCCGGTTTGAGGCCTCATTTACGGTCCTGAGCGTCTCACATGACAAAGGCTCGCTTTGTGTTTTGGGTTTGCTGCTTTTCTTCACTGGGGGAACCTGATCGGAGTCTGTTGTGGCCCCACACGGAGCAGAGGAGCCTCCAGAAGGCCATTCCTGGGGGGGGGGGGGGGTCACCTCCGACTCAGCTGCTGCCCTTTGACCAGCGGCCCTGGAGACAACTGGTGCTCTCTCTGTCGTGCACACTCACGTGCACACGTCTATAAAGAGAACGGGGAACCCGCGGTATTCCCATTCATCCTCTTTTCTTCTGCGCGACGGAGATCAGCTGCCGGGAGGATGGCTGAGTAAGTCCTGAGTCTGAGTCCTGGGCTTTTTGAAAGTATGAAACTAATTAAAAGCAATGATCAACGTTTTTTTCCCCCTTCCTTAAAGGAAAAAGATGTCCCTGAGCCGGAAAAATTACCTGAAGGTAGAGTATGAGAACACAAGCAACACTTTATTCCTTTAGGTGGACCAGAAAATGCCAGAAGAAAAACATAAAAGTTGTTGTAAAGTAGAGATTTCAGATGATTTTTGGCATAAAAAATGTTCCATCTTGACAGATCAAAGCTGTGCTTAATGTCTCCATTTGTCTTAAATCTGTGATCTGGAAAGATTCTACAGATTTGGCTCCTCGTGTGCAGGACAGGCTTCCTCTCTCTGAAGTTTAGCATGTAAATGTCCCTCTGATTGAGCTGGAAAGTGGAGAAAATCTCCTCTCAGATCTGTAACTCAATTTTGGATCACTTGTTTTTCCGCTGAGACAGAAGTCTAATCCCATGACTTGTATTTAGCTTTTAAGCTTCAACTTCATGTGCTCATAATCTTTTATACTGCTTCAAATTATACTAAGAAACTAAGCTAAAAGAAAGGGTTAAAATAGTATATTTTTGTGATTTTTGAGACAATTCTTTATTTGTGCATTGAATTATCCATTACTGTGGGATCCAATAGCAGGAAAACATCAAAACCAATGATTAATAAAGGTCAGTTTGTAAATATTTCTTAGTCAAACAAGATCTTTTCTTAGGTAAACCTCCCTTTTTAAAGACAGGCTACTTCAGATTAAGTGAGACGGGCTGGTGGAGCTCTGGTTCATCCCTCTGCTCCTCCCTCCAGAGCCTAGTGCTGCAGATCGGAAAGTCCATTTTAGAGGAGGAGGCGCGGGAGGCCGAGAGGGAGAAGAGGAGGTACATGGAGGAGAACTGCCCCTCCCTCTCCATCCCAGGCTGCATGCACGAGCTCCAGGTAGGCCTCGCACAGGGCTCCTGCTCCACCTTAAAGTAGCTCCAAATAAATCATATGAAGTTGGGTTTATTACTGAATTTAGGTGAGGATGAACTGGCTCAGGGGGGTCATTTACCAGAGGGAAACTTTAATGTTACCAACTCATCTAACTCAACTAATCTAACTCAGGCAGAATTTTGCCAAAGCATTTTAATGCAGCTTTATTTATTTCTTAACCAGTCAATTTCTATGGAAAAAGTTGGTAATTAAGGGTAAACGCTAATCAAATGCAGGTATGTCAGTAGTCAGTTTTGAACTTTATTTGGTGGCACTTTGTGAAACAATTAAGTCATTGAACAGTAACTTTACCAAAAGAAAAATCATCCCTTTTGTCAGAAGCTAATGTCTAAAGTCCATCCATCCATCCATCCATCCATCCATCCATTGTCCACCGCTTATCCGGGATGTCTAAAGTCTGAGTTGAAAAAATATATTATAAATTAAACCTTCAGAGGCTTAACTCATGTATGGAAACGCTTCAAGAATAAACTCTGATTATAACATTTGTTTGAATATTGAATATTATACCAAAAGAAAAGTTTTATCTTAATTCAATTAGTCTAAAAATGTGGTGATTTCTCATTTAACACAGAGACTATATCGCCCATTTGAATTGTAACCCACACAAAACAGCTTATTGCCCCAGAGTGTTACTTTGAGTTTGAACAATCAGCTTTTTATTTCCGGAAAACACAAAATGATCATAAAAAACAGCAGATTGTGCATTGGTCTTGTTTTTCTGGCGACAGGAGCTCTGCCGGCAGCTCCACAAGCAGATCGACCTGGTGGAGGAGGACAAATACGACATGGAGATCAAAGTCAAAAAATGTACCAAGGAGGTGTGTCTTTCACAGTTTGCTCCTTTTTCTTTTCTTTCTGCTTCATATTGAAATATTAGGCTGATCCTTTTACCCTCAGATCGACGACATGAAGCTGAAGGTTCAGGACCTGAACGGGAAGTTCCGGAAGCCGGCCCTGAGGAGGGTGAGGATGTCGGCGGACGCCATGCTGGCCGCCCTGCTGGGCTCCAAGCACAAAGTGTCCCTAGACCTGCGAGCCAACCTGAAGCAGGTCAAGAAGGAGGTGAAGGAGGAGGTGGGTGTCTCCGCTCTCAAACGGTGAATCAAATTCGGAGCACAGTGAAGGGAGGCCTTTAAAAGGCTTACCGGGAGTCTTTAAACCACAAGCAAATTTAAGTGATTTTTAAAAAAAGTAACATTTTCCTCTTTTGACTTTTTATTGTGAGCCGTAGGCACCGGTCAGTTGTTTTGTTTCCATGTGTTTCTCACAGGAGAAGCAGACAGGCGACTGGAGGAAAAACATCGAGGACAAAGCTGGAATGGACGGCAGGAAGAAGATGTTTGAGGCAGAATCTTAAATGTTGCTTTTTTTAATGTTTTACCACACAGCACAAAAAGATTGACCTGGTTTGGTAACAAATGATCAGCTGAATGACAAGAGTTAAAAAAAAAAAAGATAAAGAATCTAGTTAATAACTACATCCATCCATCCATCCATTATCAATACCGCTTATTCCCTCATGGGGTCGCGGGGGGAACTGGAGCCTATCCCAGTGGTCAACGGGCGAGAGGCAGGGTAAACCCTGGACAGTCCGCCAGTCCATCGCAGGGCCACACACAAGACATACAAGGACAAACTACATACATGTGTAAAATGTTTTTGTATGATGTGTTCACCATTTAATGATAAAGCTTTAAAAAAGATCACTGTTTCATTTCTTAAAAGTAAAAAATCATATGCATTAAAAAACTGTCAGTTGACTTATCAGTAAACAATAAATAATTATACAGAGCTGAAATTGAAATGACAATAAAATAATACACACAATAATTTAATGGATTGAATAAATAAAAAAACACACAAACAAATCTAATAAAATGGATTGAAGAATACAAAGTTTGATTTAATTAAAATATTTTCCCATTTTTTTAATGTAATACTGAAACGATTGAAAAAATACTAAGGATACTTTCTTTTCATTTGTTTCTTTCTTTCTTTGCCCAGATTGGCTTTAAAAAGCTAAACGAACTTTCTGTTAACGTCACCATATTTCTTTTTCAATAAAGTTTTTTTTCTCCCCCTCGCCCATCACGTGATAAGGAGTGACGTCACGTGCACCCTGTGACAACACTGTTGCTCGAGGTAAATCACCACCGACAACAGGAGGACAGGATTGACTTAAATTTGGGACGGATACATGTAATTTAGGTTTTATTGGAGCTAGACGAGGCGTCTTAGCCGCCGTTGCCCCCCAGAAGAGCCAAAATGACGGCAGCGGTGTTTTTCGGGTGCACCTTTATCGCCTTCGGCCCGGCCATCGCGCTGTTCCTGTTTACTATCGCACGGGAGCCGCTCCGGGTCATTTTCCTCATAGCAGGGTAAGAATAAAGTTTATATTCGTCCCGCAACTTGCTTCTCAACTTGCTGCTTGTTCACTTTTAAGAAAAAAGATAAAGCAGAACTAGCTTAGCAGCTAGCTAACGACCGCCTCCTTAGCTAGCTAGCTAACTAGCTGCTGCTAGCTCTTCTCTCGGTGTTTATACTCCCATTTTCCCTTGAGTTTGTCTTTATGGTCACATATAAACGAAGTTTTTTATTTTTTTTTACTATGGAATTTAATTTACAGGACGTTAATAAAGTTACTCTTGCCTGAATGTTAATAAGATGCCATTAGCTTAGTGTTACCCTTAACAATGACCCATTAAGGATTATTTGCCATTTCCGTAATTTGAGTTTGACCTTTTTTTTGGAAAAAACTTGTAGATGTTTGAAAAAGACCCACATCCAAACCAGTTAATCTGAAACATGTTCTTTATGATTTTGTAAATGGGAGGAGGTGAACTCAGATCACGGGCATCAGACTGACTGAACGCCATAAACAGTTTATACTCCATCCATTCATCCATTATGGTAACCGCTTATGCCCTAATGGGGTTTGCACTCCTTAAGGGTTTATTTTTCATTATAAAGAACTAATCAGTCAGCGGTTTTGGCTTTTGGAAACATTACAGAATTAAATTTTTTTTTTAAAGTTTTTGGTGAAATGTAAAATCAGCCTTTGGGCTGATAGAACCAACACCGGTGTGTCTGGGGTTGGATAGCAAACCAGACTCTTTATGTCCACGTGAAGAAGGCAGGTCATCCTATTCCAAATTGTAGAATGCAGTTTAGTTCATTTTCTTGTCATGGGAAACTCGAACAGGGTAACTGTTTCCCTTCAACCTGCTGGCAGGAAGGGTTTCCTTCACCCTCAGAATATCTCCCAGAAGGATAACGCAGTCCTGTATCTGCACTGTTTCTCTGGCTTTAAAAGGAGTGGGTTTTGCTGAACCCTGCTGAGTTTCCCTCCTGTTTTTCCTCCAGGGCCTTCTTCTGGCTGGTGTCTCTGCTGCTGTCCTCCCTGGTGTGGTTCATCTCGGTTCAGATCAGCAACAAGGACAGCGCGGCGCAGCAGAAAGGCCTGCTCATCTTCGGCGTGGTGCTGTCCGTCCTGCTGCAGGAGACTTTCCGCTTCGGTTACTACAGGCTGCTCAAGTAAGCCCCCCCCTGAGCCTCCCCCTCCAGCACACCCCCACTCGGTTTTGTCCGATAAAGAGTCTAAAGCGGAGGTCTTCAACAAGGGGTCGCTAAAGTTTTGGTTGATTGGACTTTTTTTTTTTATATCCTCCCCTGCAATTGTGTCCACTAATGTAAGCCACACAGGAGCTTTTTCAAACTGGGCCCCGTTTCATTCACAACACCTGTCCCACCAACCAGAAACCACAACCAGATGTTTACAGTAAAAACAGGAAGATATCAACCTGTGGATTATTGGAGGATCTTATTATTGAATGCCCAGTAACAAGGGACATTTACACACAATAGGACCAGTTTGATACAACACAATTTCAAACAATATATATAATTAGGGGGTCCTTGGCCTGGAAAACCTTGAAGATCCCTGTATTAAAGTTTAAAGTTATTTATCTACTTACTTAGCTGTCAGACTCATGTTGAACAGGGATTTGCTCTGATAGCAACTTAATGGTTAGGACACAGACCTGTGGGTTACAGATGCTAATGCTCATGTGGGATCGGACTTTAAAAATAAAAACAGGATCGGGAATCTTTTCTCCATACACATTTCTTTTGTAAATATCGGCGGCCGATCCGATCCAGATATGGGACCGGGACGGGCCTAGTTCTAACATTGATTGTAGTTTCCCAGCGTGTGTTCTCGAGCAGCCTGTCCCAATTTCCTCCCTTTTAAAGCACATTTCCGGGGTTCTTGTTTACAGCTCGTGGTGAAACCAGAAATGAACTCTTTGTTTGTGTTCTTTTTTCTCTCTGCAGGAAAGCGAATGAAGGCCTCCTCACTCTGAGTCAGGAGGAGACCATGCCCATCTCCATCCGGCAGCTGGCCTACGGTACAGTGAAAGCCCCTTAAATAGCGCTCAGTTTCTAAATACAAACAATCTTAAGTGTTTTGATAGAAACTGTTGAGGGTAGAAAAACATTTTTTAGCCTCCAAAGCAAAGTTTATTCTATTTGTTTCTGTTCGATTTGACCCAGAAGCTCGACTCTGCAGGAGAAACTGAAAAATGAAAGCTCTCTGTTGTGGTTTCAGTGTCGGGCCTTGGCTTTGGGTTTATGAGCGGAGCCTTCTCAGTGGTGAACATCCTGGCGGATTCTGCCGGGCCCGGGACCGTCGGCATCCACGGGGACTCGCAGCACTACTTCCTGTCCTCAGGTACCAGTTCCAGTTCCCCTCTGGGCGCCCATTGTCTCGAGGGTTTTCACATCCATCCCAATTCATTAACAGCCCCCGAGAGAGAGCGTCTGCTTTAAAAATAACAACTCGTGGTGCATTCAAGGACATCTGGCAGAACCTTATCGTGTATTCGTACCCAACTTTTTTTCCCCTTGCAAAATCCTCCAGGGGTTTGTCTTTTCATCCTGGATGTGAAGATGTTTTGAAGCTTTGTCTCCTCGTTAGAGCCGCTCGCCGCATATATTATATATATTTCTCAGTGTGTCCTCAGTCTGTGGGAATAGATCCATGTTTCCAGCAGAACTCCTGGTTTTGTCTGTTAAAAGCTTTTATTTTCTCGGAGTCGTCAGCTCTTCCCTCGTCTCTTCTTTGGGCCTTTTCACCTTCGAAAATAAACTTTCCGAAGACATCTGTTTTTTTTACTCCTTTTTCTAACTTGTGGGTTAAATTTTGGGCCCTTAAGTGACTGAGCTGTAACCGAGAGAATCCGGTCATTTTTCAAAATTAAAGGTTTTTACTAAATAAAATATTATTCAGACCTGGAGAATAAATACAACGGAAACAATTCATTATTACTTGGGCGTCCGGCGGCCCGGAACCGGCTGGTCCACGGCCCAATACCGGTCCGGGGACCGGGGGTTGGTTACCCCTGCTTTAAAGTGTCCTTTGAGTGTCTGCAGAGAAAAAAAAGTTTCTCCCTGAGTTGTGGTACTGATGGAGTGTTTTCCAGCCTTCATGACGATGGCCATCATCCTGCTCCACATGTTCTGGGGCGTGGTCTTCTTCGATGCCTGTGAGAGGCAGCTCTGGTGGGCGGTGGTCGCCGTGGTGCTCAGCCACCTGCTGGTCTCCTGCCTGGTGAGTGGGCCCTGGTTTCTTTCTCCTTTTTTTCTTTTTCTTCAGCTAAATTGGTGCCGCTCCTGTTTAATGGGAGGATCTGGTCCATATCTCTGTTTTCTAGTGATGGAAAACACTCCAGTTGGAAAACCATCCAGTTGGTTCACTCATGTCGAAGCTTCATGGGGCTTTATTTGCTCTATTCTGCCATCTAGTTGACAATAAATGTAAACCGTACTGTTTTATTTATAATGAGACTTCTGCTTTGGTGTCTGAAGCTTTCAATGAATTATCAATGATGTTTGTGATGACCCCGCCTCTCCCGGTTGGGATAGGCTCTAGCCCCCTCTTTTAGACCCCATTAGGGGATTAGAGGTTATGATGATGCATGGATGGATGTTTGGGATGCTTATACATAGATTATAAACTTTTATATGGTGTCTGTTTTTATGATACAATGAAGGGAAGCTGGAATAGATCGCTAACAAACTCGTAATTAAGTCCCAAGTCCACAAAATGTGAGGGGGGGTCCATTTTATTTTGCTGGCCCTTATATTTCAAATAGACCGCCAAACCGTGAACCACTTCCTGAATCAGTCAGGTGGTCCGGCGAGGCTTCAGACACCCCCACATAGCTCCATACGGAGGGACGCACCACTACTGTTTCCTGTCCCAAACACAGAGGAGCTAAAACCGGAGCTTTCTGGTGTTTTTCAGACCTTCCAGAACCCGGAGTACGTCTCCAGCCTGGTGCCCACCTACGTCAACCTGCTGCTGATGGCCGTCTGGGCCTTCTACACCGCCGGCGGATCCCTCCGGAACCTCAAGCTCTGCCTCACCTGCAAAGACAAGGACTTCCTGCTGGCCAACCACCGGCCCAGATAGCGCCGGAACAGGACTCTATTGAAAGATCCCAGAGTTAAGGCACACAGAAGGAGGGCGGCTTCTCCTGAAGCTGCCCCAGAGCTGATCCACCTTCTCTAGTCTTAAAAAAAATCAGTTTTCTTAAAAAAAGAAAATGGATTTGGGTTACTTTGATTCGGCCAGCACACATTTTTCCCATCATGCAACCAACACTCTCCACACTCCCACCGGGTCTAAATGTGGAAAACCCTGTAGATACTGTATGCTTTCAGTTTAAAAGCCCCGACATGATGGAGCCATTTTCCAACACCACCTTTAGTCTGAGGGAAAACCTGCCTTCAAGGTACTATGAACACATGATTGTGGTTTTGTGTTTAACTTGTTGAGGATATAAGTTAAAAAACCTCCCTCCAAAGACCAAGGGATGCAGAGGGGTAAAATGGGCTCTGGGCAGACTGTCTGCCTCCTCACAGCTGATCATTCCTTCTTTTTCCTTTTTTTTTGTTCTGTGTATGTAAACGCATCGTAAACTCAAGCAGGAATTTGCTCAGAGATCTTTGAATGTTCACCTTTTAATTGCCTTTTCAGGTTTTTGTTTGTGGGCGAGCACTGGAATTTGTGAATAAATCCATAATGTCAGACACGGCGCACGACGATTGTGTTGCTTTTGTCGTTTGTGTGTCGCCTGTGCAGGTTTGTGTGGACTGAAGTCTCATTTTGCCGTCCTGTGACCGAGTTTCACTCTGCTGACGGATCCGCCTGAAACTAAAGCAGTTAGTCCCCCCTAAGGTTGTCTTTTTTGTTAAAAAATGTAGTCTTGTATGTTTGTCGTTCTGAGAATGACGTTTGTAATGCTGTTCGCATTCGCTGATTTAAAAAAAAAAATGGTGGGAAACCCTCTCAATGGGCTGTTTTTAACACAATGTAAGGGTCAGAAACTAAGTTTGACCTAAAGTTTTTGGACATTGGTGCATTTTAAGCTTTTTTGAGAGGACTTATAAAGCAGGTTTTCTAAGTGGAGGCTCAAAAGCAGAAGTTTTGCATTAAGAGTCGACACTCTCTTATGTCCAGCTTTACTGCTTTAGCTTGAGGAGGGCGTGTTGGTCATCTCCGGTTTACCTGCTCTCTCTGGACTCAAAGCGACTTTGGGATAAAGCTGAAGTTTTCATCCGCTGTTGAAATGGTCCTGGTAGACGTTGGTTTGTATCTTAGAAATAAAAACACTAGCTTCCCCTCAGAATCTGGTGTTTGTTTTATTTTTTTATATTAAACTGCAGACTTGTTTTAAGCCTTTTTTTCCTCAGACGGCAGCCTGTGAGGAGACACCCAAATAATTCCTGTTTCAGCTCTCATGTCCATGAACACCATCTTAATCAGACAAGCCAGAGTTCAGTCACGTGTATTTTGCCTCTTAAAGCTTCCCTCCGGCCTCCAGCCTTGTTTCCATTTATGAAAGCCGACACCTTCTGGGGGGGGGGCCCACACAAAGCCGGGGGGTCCCTGGGCTCTGTGGCTGGTCAAAGGCCTTTTCACCCCGACAGCCAGCAAACACGGGAAGGTTTCCTCTGTTTCCCCTCACATGCTAATGCAGGTCTGCCCGGTGGACCCACCCGGCTCAGGTGGGTTCAGGTGGACTCAGGAAGGTTCAGGTGGGTTACATCAGGGGTGTCCAGCTCCAGGTTTTAGATGTTTCCCTGCTCTAACACCTGATTCCCATCAAAGCGCCAGCAGGCCTCTGCAGAACTTCTGATTAGATCCATTTCATTTTACACAACAGCAGAAAGTCCTCCTGATGATTTGCAGCTTAATAAATTATATTGATTATATTGATTTATTTAGATTATTTGCTAAGGTAACAGCAGTTTTACCAAAGTGTATCAATATGCTGTTCTAATTGAGTGAAAACAAAAAAAGACTACTTTTTTGTAGTTAATTATTTGTAAATTCTAATGGAAAAAGGAACAAAACTGAATCCTTATTTTGAGATGGACAACATAAAAAAAATGGAAGTAAAACATTTCTTTCGGGTGCTCACTGAATTGTTTTAATACTTTAGCATCTGGAAGGAATCAAATGGTTTTGTTTAAAAAAAAATCCTTAATAAAAACCTCAACCCCCCACTGGATGTAACGTTCAGAGTCCAGATGAAACCACGAGGGGGCGCTGTTCCCCCCTTTCCCGGAGCAGGTTCCGGATAAAGAACATGAAGAAATACAATTAAAAAAACAGCAAAACTCAGAAAACAGGACTGAATGTGTTCAGATCCACGGGTGCCTTTAGAAACTTTCCCGGGTGGGCGGGCGGTTGCCCGGACGACCGGGGCTCGGTCCCGCCCGCGTGCCCACCTGCGCATATTTTATGCTAATGAGCAGGTGCGGCGGCTTTAGGGGCGCGCGGCGGGCGCTCGCGGACAGGCCGGATGGAGCAGCGCGCGGAGCGGCGGGAGTCCAGCCGGAGGCTCTTCAGCAGGTGATGCGGCCCCAGCCCCGCACACATGGATCCCCGCTGCACACGGAGCCGGGCCGGGCTCTTCCGCCTCTTCACCTGGAGCTTCATCCTCATTTATCAAGGTGAGTCCCCCCCCCCTATCCCCCATCCCCACCCCAGGCTGAGTTCTGTCTGAGAGGAGGCAGAAAATACCGTCAACAGGCTTTAATGATACATTCTACGTTCAAAAATGTCCGTTTAAATCGTCATTTATTTATTTTGGATTCAAATTTCTTTGATTTCAGTGCATCTTTCCGGGGGTGTTGAGAGAGTGAACGTTACCTACTGGGATGAATTCAATAAGTGAGTTATGTTCCTGATTTATTACGTTTTTAATCTAATTATTTTTCTTTTCTTTTTTTGTTGTTGTTATGCTTCAATTATAGCGTGAGCCTTTTCTTCTTAATACTGGAATAACCTGCAAACGAGGCAGCCCTTATTTCTGTACTGTATTTATTGAAAAGTGCAGTATTGACTGGATTTAAAGCAAAAACACAGTTTTTTGGGGCCTAAAGCCAGCAGCTCCTCTCTGTGAGGAGCCTCCAGGAAAAGCTCTCCAGCTTCCTGAAGGATATCCCAGAGCTCTTCTCTGGATGTTTAGCTGCCTTTGGCTCCGTTTTCTGTCAGATGATCCCACTCTGCTTCATCATGTGGGGCTCTGGCTCTGGAGGATCCATCCCTCCACCAGTGCTGCTCCACTTCTGGTTCCTGCTTTCATCCAGTTTCTGACCCACTGTGAGAGCTCTGGGAGGTTCAGCTGCTGGGAGACAACTGACGGGATACCTTTATTTTGATCATTTTAGCTCTGTCTTTGCTCTATTTTGGTCATTTTAGCTCTATTTGATCTTTTTTGTTGTATTTTTGGTCATTTTTGCCTTGTTTTAGCTTTTTTTTGTTGTATTTTTGGTCAATTTAAGCTTTTTCTTAGCTTTTCTTTGGCTTTTTTCTGTTCCTTTTAGCTGTATTTCAGCTTTTTCGTTGTATTTTTGGTCAATTCAAGCCTTATTTTTGCATTTTTGGTGTAAAAGTGAGGATCATCCCTCAATCAGACCTGGTGTTCAGTTGTGGTTCCTCTGGCAGAGCTCAGCCTTTCCTCCTGTTTCCTTCCTTCATGGCTTCTGGACAGCCCCCCTTCATGGAGAGCATTTCTGCTGAGGCCACCAGGAGCTGACCAGCTGGAGGTCCAGATGCAGCTCTCAGCTCCTGTTTCTTTCACATCCTCTTCATCTGCTGGATTACAGAGTTTTTTTTTTAGAGCCAACTCTTCTTCTTCTGTCCCCCACTTGTCCAGTTTAAGGACACACATCATACTGAGATCTGCCCAGTTTTCAGCTAACAACTCTTTGGAAATCATAAGAACATTTTTTTCTTGTCATACTGTGTTTATTCAGGTATTTTTCAGAGACATGAAAAAAATAGACAGTAAATTAATGTGTGACAGGCTGCCAGTAAAGAAGCTAAAAGTCTGATTTAAGACCCTTTTTGTATGCTGTAATTTATAGTTTTAAGTGTAATAAAAATGCATTACTCTGAAAATGTCCAACAACTGGATGAAAGCCTGGAGAAATATTGCTCATAAAAACTTTTAAAGACTACAGAAAAAAAATGGATTCACATCTACAAGAAATGTTTTTACATGGAAGTATTTTTCTCAAATTGTTGTTAAATGTGATTTTCTTTTTGCTTGTAGAAAAAATTAAACCTGAACATGTCAGATCTGTTAACTGTAAAAAGTGTTTAAGAACCCTTATCTTAAAAAAGAAGAAAGAAGCAGTGGTGCCTGTATTAGCTTTGTTTGTTTGTTTGTTTGTCTGTCTGTCTGTCTGTCTGTCTGTTTGTTTGTTTGTTTGTTTGTTTGTTTGTTTGTTTGTTTGGTGGAGCGGGTGGTTTCTGGTTAGTGGGGTTATCTTAAAAAAAGAAAGAAAGAAGCAGTGGTGACTGGATTAGCTTTGTTTGTTTGTTTTTTTTGTTTGTTAATGCGGGTGGTTCTTGGTTAGTGGGGTTAGTTTAAAAAAGAAAGAAAGAAGCAGTGGTGACTGGATTAGTTTTGTTTGTTTGTTTATTTTGTTTACTCATGGTGCGTGTGGTTCCTGGTTAGTGGGGTTATCTTAAAAAAGAAAGACAGAACCTGGTTAGTAGGATTAGCTAGAAAAGAAGGAAAGAAGCAGTGGTCATTGGATTAGCTTTGGTTATTTGTTTGTTTTTTTGTTTATTGGTGGTGTGGGTGGTTCCTGGTTAGTGGGGTTAGCTTAAAAAAGAAAGAAAGAAGCAGTGGTGTTGGGATTACCTTTGTTTGTTTTTGTTTTTTTTAATTATTTGGTGGTGTGGGTGGTTCCTGGTTACTGGGGTTAGCTAAAAAAGAAAGAAAGAAGCAGTGATGTTGGGATTAGCTTTGTTTGTTTGTTTTTCTGTTTACTGGTGGTGCGGGTGGTTCCTGGTGGGGGGGTTTGGGGCGTCGGGGGGGGGGGGGGGCTGCCGCACTAACAGACCTCTCCTTGTTCTCCCTGTCCCAGCCGCGGGAGCAGCAGGATAAAGCAGCAGAAATGGGACACCGCTTCCCAGGGAGGGCAGGTAGGCCGCTGCATTGATCATTGATGCTGCTGGAGCTGCTCCGGGCGGGCGGCCGCAGCCAGAGAGCCGCTCACTCGGGGCTACGCTCTTCCATCTCTCAGCACTCGCCTGTGAAGTCATGGGCAAACATATTTACCCGAGCCCACACAGCCCTGTCCCCATATCTGGACCCAATATCTAATATCCACCTGTTACTGTGGAGTTACTCCCTCTCTCTCTCTTTCTTTTTCCCTCTCGCTCTCTCTCCTGGCCCCTATCTCTCTCTCTCTCTCTCTCTCTCTCTCTCTGTCTCTCTCTCTCTCTCTTGCCCCCTCTCTCTCTCTCTTTCCCTCCCTCTCTCTCTCTCGCCCTCTCTCTCTCTGTTGCCCCCTCTCTCTCTCTCTGTTGCCCCCTCTCTCTCTTTCCCTCCCTCTCTCTCTGTTGCCCTCTCTCTCTCTCTGTCTCTCTCTCTCTCTGTCTCTCTCTCTCTCTCTCTGTCTCTCTCTCTCTCTCTCTTGCCCCCTCTCTCTCTCTCTCTCCCTCTCTCTCTCGCCCTCTCTCTCTCTGTTGCCCCCTCTCTCTCTTTCCCTCCCTCTCTCTCTGTCGCCCTCTCTCTCTCTCTCTCTCTCTCGCCCTCTCTCTATCTCCCTTGCCTTCTCTCTCTTTCTCTTGCCCTCTCTCTCTCTCACCCCCAACCGGCCGAGGCAGATGCCCCCCCCCTCTCTGGTTCTGCTCCAGGTTTCTTCCCCCTAAAGGCAGTTGTTTCCTCCCTGTGTCTCCTAGTGCTGCTCTTGGTGGGAACTGTTGTTCTTCTGGAAATAACTTCAGAGTCGGTCTGAGCTGCTCTGTTTTGAAAGCTGGGAGATAGAAATAGAAATAAAACTGAATTGATTGAATTGAATATCTAATTTAGTGATACACTCACTGATACGTGATTCTTACTGCACTAAAGACCTGTTCTCGCTGTTCAATGGGGTCCAGAGGGAGTGCAGACTGTCCGATTTTGTGAGAGAATTACCCTTATAGTGACTCTCTTCCCTCCCTGACTGAAAACATGCCCGTTTCCTGCTGTGGAGCTGAGGTCGTGCCGCCCTGACATTTGTCCCGTTGGTGGCGACATGTAAGGCAGTCCCAGCAGGACTATTGGGTGGCGGCCCTGTTGTCTGGCTCTTCCTCTATCCGGGCCACTATCTGGCTGCCCTTTTGTCTGGCTTCCCTTTGGTGCGGGGAGGCGTGAGAATGCCGTCAGGACAATGGGAGATCTGAGGCCAACAAAGCGATTAGTAGCACAGGTCGCAGGTCAGCGGCGTACGGGGCTCCTCTATGGCAGGTCGGGTCTCTGTGGGCCCGATGGCCGATACCGATCAGTGATTAATAATTCGCCATCTCGCATTCTTTGTACCCCGGTGCACTCACCACTTGCCATCTGCTTTGTGCCGGCTCTGTGAGGATACAGCCTTTGTCTGAGAGCTCAGGTATCCACACAGGCTCAAAGTGTTGGAACCAGGTGGAATTGATGCTTTAGACTAAATCTGATGTTTCGTGGACCATTTTTCATACCACAAACACAAATCCTCCCCCGGATTTTAAGTCTTCAACTAATCCTCAAAGTTATCTGGATGAATCTGATCGGTGGGGGGAGAATTCCACAATTAAAGAAAGACAACGTCCATAACAGAGAAGTGGGTTGTGAACCTGGAGGGGAAACAATAATGAAGACTGGATCACAGCTCTCTTCTTTCCAGATTCTTCTCCTCCCCGAACCGCCTCGGTTTCATCCTCTCCGCTCGTTTGGCAACAAACACACTAATTCTGAGAGGAATTTCTGCCCAAACAAAACACAGAATTGTAAAAGCCTGACATTTTAATCAAGTCCTCATTAATCCGTCACCTGAGAGCTGAGCCTTGTTT